GGTGTTTCTTGGAGCGTTTGCGTGGACCACTTCCGCCTTCTCTGAAGCATGAGCTAGAATAACCGCAAGGAGCTGCGGCCCGAGGGGCCAACTTCACGAATCATTAGCACTTTTGGTCCATCTGTCTGATTCCGTTCCCAACTTACGCTTTCCTGCATCCCCTCGAACGTTTGGCTTCGTTCTGTCCGTGCATCTAAGGCTCCACCGACTAAGTAATGGTGAAAACACTGCCTAATTCTGGGCGGCACCTGGTTCTCTGAGATATTTATGAACCGACCTGACTTCTGCAAGCATCCCACACCTGGGCGGGGGGGGACTGTTGGCCAGAGGGCCCCGGGCCTCTTCTTGAGCAGTAATTCAGGCTTTTGCCACCTGTCCCCAAGGAGCTCAGAGGACTTTGGAGCCCACATGACACTGATCTTCATAATCTATCTGCGAGGGAGACAAGGGACAGGAGGAAACAGACGCAAAGGGAAGCCTGGCTGCCGTGTGACCAGGAGCCAGGTTGTTAGACTGGTCAGCTAGTCAGTTTCCAAAGCATCGTGCAGCCACTCTGTGCTGACGGGCACATTCCAGGTGTGTGAAAGGGCACCTCGCCTCCGGCGCTCTGGTCACCGCCCCCACCCTACTGTGACCGTCAGCACAGCACAGGGGACCGGGCGGGGGCCCTGCGCGACGGGCATGGCAGCGGTACAGAGTGAAGCTACGCCCAATGCTCCAGCCTCGCGGCTGGACGCGTTCCCACTCAGCAGCTGACCACATTCTCCATCTCTTCCCCTTGTGGTTTTCTGATCTGTTTTCAAGTTTTGACATCCTGTATTCGACCCAAACTTTCAAACAAGTGTAAACACATACGCAAATGAAAACAAAGAGAACGCTTGGGAAGTTCCAAGGGGGTGTGGGCTAGAGACAACAGTCTGCAACTACCTGATTAGCATGTTAAATTTGCAGCAAAAAAAATAAAATCAGCAGTCGGGCCTGGGGGAGAAAGGAGGCGTCTGGAAGGCAGCAAGCAGAGCACAAACCTGTGAACTTAGCCGTTTAGGCGGGTTTCTGTAGGGACCGGACTCAATGCTTGTTGGCTGGACTGCTGTGGGGGGCCAAATGCCGCCCGCGGGTGCCCTCCCACACGGGCGCACACCGGCGGGACGTGCCACGTTCATACGCTTCCTGCTGACGCCACCGCGATGTCGGGGGCCCGCTCTCACGCACCGCAGCCCGGCCACTCTGTGCAGCCTGGGGACGTGCGAGCTCCCAGGCTTGCTCCGCACAACAGCACCCGACTCCTGCCCAGTGAGGCTTCTGGGAACAAGCTGGCCACCCTTCCCGGCAAAATCCAGTGGGCTGGGGGTTCCCTAAGGTGCTCCACGGGCCACACGAGGTCCCGTCTGGCTGCACCGACCTTCTGGTTAAGACCATGACCTCTTGCACCCCTTCTTACTCGCCAGCAAGAAGTCTGGCCCAGAGCAGACAGCTGTTCCCACAGGAGGACGCACGGCCACAGGCACCTTCGCCAGGGCTGTCACGTGACGGCTTTCCGGAAAGTCCATCCTGGGCGGGGCTGGGGCAGGGGTGTCTGGCAGGGACACCCAGGGATCCCAGCCTGGGACCCTTTGACTGGCGTGGGGGGACCGTGCTGAGAAAGGCAAAAATCTAGAAGAGGCAAGACCCCTAGGCACCGATCCCAGCCCGGACAGCCGAGCGCCCTCAGCTGTCGCCTTCCCGCTCTGAGTGCTTCTCACGGGAGCCAGGGGGGAGAACCCCCCCGCTGGCCGGGTCACTGACTGTGTTTTTGTGTTTGCTTTGTAAAGAAGGGACCCTATACGTAACTGTTTTCTCTAACGGCACACTTTCTATTTAACACCAGAAGTCTTTAGTATTGATCGTGAGGTGAACACATCAACATTCTCTTTTAAGCAAGAATGTAAATTTTTGGTATCTTACGACAGTTCCATTCTCTATCCACCATGGGAAGGTCTACACATTTGCTGAGAGGAAGATGGTAACCAGCGTCACCATCCGGTGACAGTGCTGCTGGTGAACGGGACGCTGACAAACCGGGATGGGGAAGGGGAGTTAGTGGAAAGTGCGACATTCACCTGCTCGGGTTTTGTGGAACCTAAGGATCCTGTTTATCACACTTGTGTTTGGACTTTGAAAGTTAAACGAAAGCCTTCAGCGTGGCGGCGCCAACATGCTGCACGAGCAAACGGACGTGTAAACTGGCCTCGACGGCTCCGCCGCGTCTTCGGGGAATAAAGCTATCGGATCCGAGAACCCTGCGCCTTCTGCCCCCGTGCGTCCACAGAACACCGTGCGTTCCCATCGCATCCTCCAACACACGCAAAATCTCTTATTAGGATGGCCTCCGCGGCCTCCGTGACAAGGACACACTGCAGGTCGTATGATGTGTTTGCCAGAACTGCCTGAAAGGAGCCGGTCTGATCAACTAACACAAGTGTTACAAACAGTTTTATCTTTCGCTCCACGTACAATATGTAAACACGGCTCATCTGCATTTCACGGTGGGGTGTCGCCTGTGTGAAAAGTGAAACTATTGCAGTGAGGCACCGGCTGTGTGTCGTGTGACCTTCTTTGGGACTCGGTGAATTGACAGAGGCTCCTACGCAGCCCCCACTGCCAATCGGCGGCGCTGTCACATTTAGCTATAGGTTAACCTGCTCACCTATGCATGGTTCAGGCCGAAACTTTTGGGAGATTTTAAGATAAAAGTGAGTATACAAAACATAAAAAAAAAAATCCAAATTCAGTGAACACTTTCATTCAAGTCAGAGTCAGAGGATCTGGGGTCTAAGAACAGTTATTGTCTAATTTTAGAATTTGTTGTTCGATGTCTTGTCCAAGCTCCAGGAAATGGGATAAAATGCATCAGCTGGTAGATTTCCGTGTGTCAGCAGGTCTGTGCCCGCGTGTGCATTTTATATTTCCTCTCCCAAAGGGGTCTACCCCGACTTTGCTTTTCTGTGGCTCTTTCTAAAGAGCAGTTGTCTTAAACGACACATCATTTTTAAAGTCTAAAATGCCAATACTTGCAAATACATTTGTTTGTAACATAGTATTGTGACTACAGGAAGAAGCGGTGTTACTGTACACTACTCAGGATTTAAGTATTTATTTAGGTAGAAAAAAATGCTCTGAATACTCTGGGGAAATAGGATTCATTTATAGAAGAATATTTAAGGGTTTTTTTTTTTTGCATTTTTCAAGAATATACATTCGTACTGATTTTTGCTTCCAAATATATTTTAAGGCTGTTTGGTAAAATATACCAGATATGAGGCTCAATTTACAGGGTTTTGTTCTTACAGGGAATTCTTAATGACTCAGCTTTAAAAAAGTAAGACTTTGAAGCCAACATGCTTTGATATCAACTGTGCTCCAGGGAGCCCCATGCTTCGCAGGATGTAGAGAATGAGGAGAAAGACACACTGCAGGCTGAAGGAGCGCCCCCACAGGGGACGTGGCTTCACGGCATGTCCCGCGGGCGTGGCCAGGCTGCAGGGGGAGCTGGGTGCATGAAAGTGCCCGTCAAGCTGAGCAGACAAAGTGCTAGAGGAGGTAAGCCAGGGCTGCCCCGCCGCCGTGCCGAGTACACAGTACCCTCCGGGCGGCGGGGAGGCCCGTGTTTGGGGGAGGAGACACCTGTCCCCGGGGGTGATCCCGTTTCCACCTTGCGGTACAGTGAGGACTCCGAGTCTGGGATCGAAGGGACAGACTGGACAGGCTCTTCCTCTGAAGACGCGTCTGAACGGGGACATGGGTGACAGTGACTGCGTCTAAGCGTGAGTGACACACGGAAAGCCTTTTCATTCGAATCCTTCCTGCTTCGCCCTGGTGCCAATCAGAATCCTGAAAACTAATTACTTTTCTCAGAGTCCACAGCTGGAAATCACCGTATGTGACCTTTTTTTTTGTTTTTGTTTTTGTTTTTTTTTTGTTTTTTTTTGTTTTTTGTTTTTGTCATGTCTAAAACAGGCAAGAAATATATTCTTGACTTCAGCGGTACTGCATAGGACAAAAGAATTCTGGAAAAATACAAATGTAGGCTACATTTCTTCTTTACCATTTAAGCTGAGAGATACTTACCACTCACATTCATATTTCTTAAACTTTTTACATCACAACTGTCATTTTAAACAAGCAAACTTTTTTTTTTTAAGGATACCCTGGAAAGTCAACTGATAGAGCAGTTTGAGAATATATATACATCTATAAAAAAAAAAGTCACAGGTGCACACATGGGGAAGCTCACAGACAGGACGGTGTGGGACAGAAGTTACGAAGGAATAAAACATACAATGACGCTTTCATCGGAATGAGGCCTATTATTTTTCTCTTTACACTCCTGCTACGGGACAGCCGGCCTTCGGGAAGACTGTCTCTCATCACGCGTCACTCCCCTGGGTGGAGGAACACTAGCTTATTTGGGGACTGTCAGATGCCCCGCCGGATCATTCCGTCGGGCTCGGACGGGCGGTCCCCGGGCGTGTGGAGAACCGCACGGCAGGGTCGGGTGGCTGCAGAGATGGCTTCTCATGGACTTGGCACAAGGAGCCCGGTGCCAGGGCCGGCTAGACTCGGGGGGCAGGGGGGCGGCGCCCATGGGGGTGGGGGTGGGGGTCTCTTTCCTGCCTGGAGCTGGAGCAGGTTCCACTGGGCGTGTGGTGAGGGGCAGGATGCACCGCGTCCAGTTATCTGTTATTCTTGCCTCGAGTTATCCCACGATTTATAAAAATATAAATAACAAAATGTGAGCTGGGCTCCATCTGGAGAGGTGTTTCCCATGACCCTCTGAGAGCAGAGTGGATCAGGTAGGGGTCCCCATGCCGCGCGTGAGACCATGGTGGGGGGACAAGAAGGGGGCAGCTGGTCTGGCCGGGGCTCGGCGCACGGCAGAAGTGAACGCATTCCGGTGTGGCTACGGCACAGAGAACACGACAGGGCGTATTCGGTGGAGAAACGAGACCAAAATCGCTGGGTAGGTGAGAAACTGTACAAGCATTTTGTTAAAAAGAAAAGAGAGGGAAAGGCGCCCCTAGAGGCGTGTCTGGGCCTCCGGGATGTAGATCTCGATGCTGTCTGCACGCTCCGAGGCCGAATTCTGGCGGAAGGAGGCCGCCCGCTTGGCAGCAATGAGCCGCCTCCGGGCTTCCTGACGTTGTCTGTCCGGCAGGTCCAGGGACTTTTCTCTCGTGATAGGAAATTTTCCTTTGGGGGGCTTCTTTGGTATTGGAGGGGGGACCTTTCTTTCTTCCTGAAAAGCATCACAAGTCAAAATTGGGGACATCAGAAGGGGCTGGCGCCAGTCCGCGAGTGACTGCAAGCTGCCCTGGACACCCGGCCCCACGCCCCCTGACTTTGGCCTTGCCACCTGCCTGCTGGGCACCGTGACTTCCCTCACCCCTCAAGGGCAGGGAGACGGGTTAGGTGACGGCCTTGCACATAAGGAACCAAGTCCCGCACAGTAACACGGAACGCCTCCTTGGTCTCAGGTTTACTTTTGTGTTGTTGCTAGATTAGCTTCCTTGGCCTTCTCTGAGCACTGGCAAATGCCCACGACTTCAGTCCTCGAGCATCCCTGGCATTTTGGAAGGTGTTGCTTGACATCCCTGTCACGTACTACAGACTTTTCAACGTACTCTGGATCCTAAGCACCTTCATGAAAACCATCTTATGTTGGGGAGCTATTGGACAAATTCCCTGTTATGGGCCTAAAACTCCTTGACATTAACTAGATAAATAGAGAGATGATAGATAGATAGATAGATAGATAGATAGATAGATAGATAGACAGATAGATATGATGGATGGATGGATAGCTAGACAGACAGACATGATGGATAGATAGATATCTAGATAGCTAGACAGACAGACAGTCAGATAGATTTGATGGACGGATGGATGGATGGATGGATAGATAGATGGATAGACAGATAGATAGGTATGATGATGGATGGACAGATGAACAGGCAGATTGATAAACAGGTAGATAGGTAGATAATAAATTAAATGACAGATAGATATGATGGACGGACAGTAGATAGGTAATAGATGATAGATAGATAGATAGACAGACAGATATGATGGATGGATGGATGGAGGGATGGACAGATAGATAAGATAGACTTTTCACCTGCTTGGTAAAAACATGCAAATAATTACTTGTGACCTTTAGCTCATATTCTTAAATATGTCACAAAAATATGTGTATGCCTTTTCCAGAAGGCTAAATCACACAGTTCTGCAGCAAATACAATATATACCATTATATCCCATCTTTACTGTTCTGGTGAAAGGTCTGTGGCCCCAACCCTCATGTTATTTAACGCGGATCCTATCTAACAAAGCTGGACCCAACCCGGACTGCCCTTCCCAGCAGGTGATGACAGGGCCCTGCATAGCCAGCCACCTCCTTCCCAGGGAAGGTTCCTGGCAGAAGGTGCTGGAACCCTTTCCTTTCATGGGCACGCATCTAGTTGTCGGGAGACCCCCTCCCCCTATGTCTTACTCCCTTCAGCCTCTGCAAACGGGCCAGACGCGCTAGGACACCGTGGGGGAAGGCACAGCGCGGGCGGACCTGCGTGGCAGACCCCACTGCTGTGCAATGTAGGTTTTGGAAGGAAGACTGCTTTGGTGTCTGATACTTTATTCCCATGGTGTACTTTTAAATGACTCGGCCCAGAACGACTTCTTCCTGACCCTGGCAGGCATCTTCGACAACGAGGGTAATGGGTTTGTTAAGGATTTCAGCTCTTTCAAAAGTTAGTTCCTACGTTAAGCACATGACTGTCTCTACCTATTTCTTTTCTCCTCAGTCATCAGCCTCTCAAGTGTGGGGCTTTAGGAAATACACAGGAGGGATTCTTGTGGGAGTCTCCTGTTTACAGGCGTACTGTGGTAGGAGAGGGTTGACCAGGTGGCCCTGCGGGTGGACAGGACAGAGTGGCTCATGAGCCCACGGCTTGGGGCTCGGTGGTGTGGCTGTCTACTGTCTGCAGTGGGGTGTACACCTTCAGCAAGAGGACCCTTCTCTCTGCATAGCTTAGGTAGAAGGGCTTATACTAGTTGTCAGTTACCGAAGAATAAAAAATAGGAGGGATCACTGCAAATCCTCGGAAGGATGAAATGGGTTCTAGTTTTAGTATTTTATCAGAATAGTGTCTTCATTGGCAGTCACTTAGGCTCTCCTTCACCTCAAAACCAAACCACAGAAAGGACTTGCTAATGTACCGTTTATGGCTTACAGACGGCCTATGCCTTCCTACTTCCCTCTGCCCCCTAGTCTCAGTAAAGAGGGGGCGTGACAGTCATCCGCAGTGACATCTATGACATCGAGGCCAGAACTCCACCGACACAATCAGTGGCACCTTTGGGGGAAGACTGAGGGTGGCGTTGATGGCTTTCTTCTCATCAGCTATGGAGACATCCTCTGCTGCATGTTAACACCACCCCGAAGTGTGCTGGATGAATTTCATCATTTTATTTGAATCAATAATGTCTACCTAGAAAATCAGATTCTGATTACTTTAAAATGTGTTAGGAAATCAATGTATTTATTGCTAATTAAGACCTAACTATTAGCCCTACTAAGGATGATATCTGAAGGGGAAAAGTCAAATCATAGGAATTTAATGGAAACTTTCAGGAAAGTATTTAAGGGCGAAGGCTGAGAGATCTATGGGAAGTTTACATCTCCAACCTGTTCAGTGGAGCCTACAATGTTTGCTTGTCTTCCAGAAACACCTGGAAAGTTCATCTGAATAGGAAGTAGTCATTGTAACCAGGCCTCAAGCCTTCCTTGTAGAGAATCATCTTGGTATAATCCAAGTACAGGTTTGATAAAGACACAGGGTAAGATCCCTGTAAGAAATGAGCCTCTCGGTCTGCGTGTGCCTTTCCGTTAGAGTCCCAGCGATATGGCAGGAAGGGCCCTGTTACTCGCTACCCCCGGCCAGCGGCTTTCATCCCAAGTCAGCTTAATGCTGGCTCTGCGCGCGCGCACACACCTGCACACCTGATCGCGTGCCTCTGACCCGAGACCATGACGCACAACGGAGCGCCTCTCGTGCGGCCGGGCTGGACGCCGGGAAGCCCGCGTGGAACGGCGCGTAGGGAGGGCGCGAGGCCCGGGTGGGTTACCTTTCTTTCCGGAGACTCGATTATCTTCCAGTCGTTGAGCTTCAGCTGGTGCAGCTCGTCAAACTTCATGCTGACGTCCTCAACGGACAGCTGCAGCATGTCCCAGTAGCCCGCCAGGTCCTGGGAGGTGGGTCTCGGCATGGCGCTGGGGTCCTGAGGACACACGGGCAGGAGTCGGAGCGCGAAAATCCCCGGGCGGCCCAGGGCTCGGGGTGGGGCGTGGGTGGCGCTGCTCCTTCCTGCAGGCGCTTTTCAAGGAATCAGACTGGGGGGAGGTGAAGTCATGCCGTGATGTGAATATCTGGGAGGGCCCACAAAGGGCCAGTAAGTCTATGCAGGCATTTGCCGCCTGTTAAAGAATATACAACGTACTGGGTGACTTCACCTCTATGACATTCTAGAAAACACAACACTGTGCGTCAGCAAAAAGCTGAGTGGTTGCCAGAGGTCAGGGCCCGGACTGCAGAATGCCACAGTAGTGGCTACGTGTCACTGTACGTCCAAACCCAGCCCACGTACGGTGGCAGAAGTGACCCTGACGTGAACCCCGGACGCTGGGTGAGGATGCGTGTCCACGCGGCTCACGGACTGTATGACACGCACCTTCTGTTGGGGCTGTTGACAGCGTACGCGTGCCCACGTGGTGTCACAGGGTGGGTGGGAAATCCCTGTACCTTCCCCTCAGTATTACCATGAAACTAACCCTGCTCCACAAAATAAGCCTGAGTAAAGAAAACACACTTGGCGCGCTCATTCACTGTTCTGCTTTCAAGATGCTTTTGTAGACCTTGAAAATGGTGGCAAATAGTAAACTTTTAAATGCTCGGCTGTTCCTAGAAGCAGGAGGCAGCCGTGCAGGGATGCGTGTGTGGCAGCGGCCGTGAGGCTGGGCTTGGAGCCTGTTACTGCCCCTCTGATCTTAGCGGTCATTCTAATGGCCGTGTATTTCCTTTTTTCTTTTTTATGTTGATTTATTTCTGAGAGAGAGAGGTGGGGGAGGGGCAGAGAGAGAGGGAGACACAGAATCCGAAGCAGCTCCAGGCTCCGAGCTGTCAGCACAGAGGCCGACACGGGGCTCGAACTCAGGGACCGTGAGATCATGACCTGAGCCGACGTCGGACACTCACCCGCCTGAACTCCCGGGGCCCCTGTGTGTTTACTTTGCTCCCGTGTAGAAGGAGGATGACTTTTATGGAGATAATTTATGATGGTACGGAAAGCTCGCCGACAGGTGCCAGCATGTGGCAGAGTGGACGATGCCTCGGAGCCACACAGTGGCGGGCTGGGAGCTGGTGAGGCCCAGGGAGGCGCCCTGCAGCGCACAATTTCAGCGCGCTGCCTGCAGTCAAATTGGGGACTTCCTTGGCCCCCTCCCGCCCGCCCGCGCCTGGTGATGGGCTGCAGCCCCGGCCTCCGACCCCCCCTTCCCGGGTCCACACCCCCGGCTTGAGCGTCTGCGTGTTTATGCGCGTGGGCCCTGCGACTCAGTGTGAGGCCGTCTCAGATTCAACAGAGACATTTCTGGGAATTTGCAGATATGTGCGGTTTTCAGCCTAACCCCCCGTGGTCCACATTGTGCGCAGCGTGGACCTGTGTTTGGTCTGCTTACACCCGCTTTACCCTGTGGCCTAGTCTGCATCTTATTCTCTTAAATAAAATGTTTACGTGTTTTCTCTGTTGTTGGGTGCTTTAGATGATGAGTTCCTCAAGGCAGTGACCATCTACGCCTGCCCCGACCAGGGGACAGGGTGCAGGGCTCCCCTCACAGCCGGGAATCCAGCAGATACGACAGAGGAGGCAGGAACACGCCTGCTAACCTGGTACCTGAGCATCTCACGCCCGTGTGCCTTCCGAGGAGCCTGAAACCATCCTGTTCCCCCACTTTTGTCAAATTAAAATACGTTTATTTATTTATTTTTGAGAGAGAGAGCACAAGCAGGGGAGGGGCAGAGAGAGAGAATCCCAAGCAGGCTCCTCACTGTCAGCACAGAGCCCGTCTCTGGACTTGACCTCATGAACCTGTAGAACATGACCTGGGCCGAAATCAAGAGTCGGACGCTTAGTCAACCGAGCCTCCCAGGCGCCCGTTTCCCCCTTTTTAAAGTGACGGTTATAGGGGCGCCTGGGTGGCTTAGTCGGTTAAGCGTCCGACTTTCGCTCAGGGCATGATCTCGCGGTTCGTGGGTTCGAGCCCCGCACCGGGCTCTGTGCTGACTGCCAGCTCAGAGCCTGGAGCCTGTTTCAGTCTGTGACTCCCTCTCTCTCTGACCCTCCCTTGCTCACGCTGTCTCTCTCTCTCTCCTAGAAATAAATAAAAATATTTAAAAAAAATTAAAAAAAATAAAATGACGGTTATAACTTCATGTCACAGGCGGATATGTGGTCACTTTATACATTTTGTGCTGAGCTTCAATGGGAGACATTAGAGAAAATGTCCTTTTTAATGACTCTAATTAAAAGGGATGAATCAGCAGCTCTGAAGTGCTATGCTTCCTCTGACGTGTAAGAACATTCTGTAAATTCACATCTCGGTGCAAATTAAAAAACAAAGCAAAACAAAGTCAAATCATCAAGCACCATGGTTACACGAGTCTAGCACAGACCTGCTTGCATTTTAAAAAAATCTATTTATTTATTTATTTAGAGTGTGTGTGTGTGTGTGTGTGAGAGAGAGAGAGAGAGAGAGAGAGAGAGAGACAGAGAGAGTGGGAGACAGTGTGAGCAGGGGAGGGGGAGGGAGAGACGATTGCAAGCAGGATCTGCAAGGTCACCACGGAGTCTGACTCAGGGTCGAGCTCATGAACGGAGATCATGACCTGAGCTTAAATCAAGAGTCAGAACCACAACCGCCTGAGCCCCCGGGCCCACTTGCATCTTAAGGAGCTGTTTGGTCTGAAAATCAACGTATGGATTTATGAACGAGCCTCTGTAGTAATGTGAACGTTCGTTACTTATTCCTGCAAGCGATGGTACGCGGACACTTTGTTTAGTTACAGAGAAGAGCATGTGTCTTTTACACACGGAGGCAGCGAGTATACACACGCTTTCCTTCTCTTCCATTTCCAGGAAGATCAGAGCCAAGTTTTCACACCAACTGTGTGCCTGGTACAGTGGGCTCGCTCCTCTGAAACACGCAGCCCGATTACCCTAGAGCCTCTTCTGAGCCCCTACGTGCAGTGGCTCCCGCGTGCCCTCAAGCCGCCTCCCACCCGGGCCTGCGTCCCTGCACCTGCCGTCACACCTGCTCACCGCCCACCTGCCTCCGAGGCCTGGGGGAGGGCGGGCCGCAGCTGTGCGGGTGCCCTGCAGGCCCGGGGGGGCTGTGTCCACGCACCCCCCGCCCAGGCCCCCACCCCGGGGCCCCTTCCCTGGACACAGCCACTTGGCACGCCCTCAGGAACCAGGTAGCCCGGGGGTTTGCTCACCATATTCTGTTGGCACAACCAATAGAACTGCTGGAATTTCTGGGACATCAGAAGCTGCGCGCTCCCCACGGCGCTCCGGATCTTCCCAAGGACTGTGAACCGGACAGAACAAAACCAGCTTGAACCCAGTCAATTGGAAACAAAAGCAGAAGCTTTACACACAGGGGGTAAACTCCAAGAGGCTGGGCTGCTCTTCCTTTGCCCGAAGATTAAAACTCCGAGTTTATTCTGCAGAACATGTCCACTGACAGGAGTTCTTTTCCAGTCTGTTCCATTTTTTTTCCTTTTTAAAAAATGTTTCTTTATTGGGGCGCGTGGGGGGCCCAGTCGGTTAAATGCCCAACTCTTGCTTTTGGCTCAGGTCCATGATCTCATGGTTCGTGGATTTGAGCCCCGTGTTCGGCTCTGTGTTGGTGATGCGCAGCTGCTTGGGATTCTCTCTCTCTCTCAAATAAATAGAGAGAGTGAGAGAGCAAGCAGGGGAGGGACAGAGGGAGAAAGAGCCCAAGCAGGCTCCGTGCTCTCAGCACAGAACCCAACACCAGGCTCGACCCCACGACCTTGAGATCATGACCTGAGGTGAAGTCAAGAGTCTGATGCTCACCTGACTGAGCCACCCAGGTGCCCTGGTCTGTTCCATGTCTGATTTTTGAGGAAAATCAGTATCAACAGTATCAACGATTAGGATGTGACTCTTCAGTGTTAGGAAAAACTGACTTTGGAAAGGCGGTCTATACCGTAGGGAATTTTCCTGTTTGGGGCATTGGGATACTTTTGTCCATGATGCTCAGATGAGCCAGAGAATAAGGCAGCAAGTATGAATAAACAGACATGAAGTACTTATGTTTATGCACTCCAGGAAGACGAAGATGTTAATCCCTAGTTTCTAGGAAATCACGCTGACCTCAGTTGTCGTGTTCGAGTCCCATGGAGAGTGTTTAGGACTCGGGTGGCCCCGGGGGCGGTGCTTGAGAGATCTCACACAGAACGCAGGGGCCGTGGGGGACGAGGCCGCGGCTCCGACATGACCCATCTCCCTGCAGGGTGCCCGGTCCACGGCTCCTGCTCCCGGCTGCTGGCCCTTTGGGGGCAGCGGACTCACCGGCCACCATGATGGTGATGACAACCCTCCCACCCCTGTGTGCCCGCTGTGGTGCGGTGCAAAGTCGACACACGACTTCTACATTGTGGGACTTGAAGGAACCAAACAGCACTTGGTAAAAAGAAAGGGACGTGGTTTGTCAGCAGAAAGGACTTCTTAGCAAAGGGCGGGAGTGACCACTGGGGATGAACAACCGGCAGATAAAAGCCTTGGTGTGTGAAACGTGGGGGGCACCGCCCAGTCCTGTGACCTCCAGAGGCCCCTCCGCCGCCAGCCTGTGCCCCGCCCTCACGCCCAGTCCTTACGGGGCAGTAGACCATCATCACACCAGTGGAATAACTGTGCTGGACCCCAGCTCACAGGACCCCCCAAGCACTTAGCAATCTGTCGGAACACGCTTCCCGCCACTGCGCCCTGGGCCCCTGTGCATCCACGGTTTGTCTGCCCAAGAGACGAGGAGAGGTTACTCCCCGGATCTACCTGTCTGGGCCGGACCTCACCCCCTCTGCCCCCACTCCCCTGCGCTCTCGTCCCCTCTCGGGTTCTCTCACGGACTCTGGCGGGACACGGAGTGAGGGGCAGACTGTCTAACCCAGTGTGGTGTTCCAGCACCTTCCCCCAGGCTCTGCGCAAAGACGGCCATGGGAGCCTGTATTTGCTAACAGCGGGTGCAAGGCGGTCAAGGAAGGGGGTGTTTGGCCTGGAGGTTCGTCCGTCAAGGCAGAGGGGAAAGGAACCATCACCCCCACGTGTGTTTGTGTGGATTTATCTCCATCAGGACGCTTCTGGGCCCGAGGTTTATCTAAAGAAGAGAGGGACCAGCGCTCCCGATGGCGTGGACAAGCCCGTGCCACCCGCAGTGGGTGCTGTCCTGACCCAGCTCCTCAGGAGCACCCGGGGTGCCCCACCATCATCGGGACCCTGCAAGCGTCCTCAGAGGTGGAACCGAGGTAGGCTTTCCCGCACAATTTCCCGAACGGTAGTGATTCTCACGGGCACTTCCAAAGCAACTCACTCAGCGCGTGCTCGCGACAGGCACCCCGGATTCTGACCTCCTGACAGCGGGCCACCCAGACGCTGTGTCCCCTGCCCTCGGCCTTGCTCTGGGGGACACAGTCACAGACCAGGGTTGGGAAAGGCCTCAACATCCACGAGATGAAATGCCGTGAGGCCGTAGGAACAGGTGTCCCACGAGCAAGCCCACGGACGGGCCCGGGACACGCAGTGTGGGTGTCAGGCAGCCACGGGGCTGTGGGCAAAGCACAGCGTCCATTTGCTGAAAGACGGGAACGCGGCGTCTCGCACAGCGAGTTCTGACAGTGACTTTCTCACTCGTGTATCAGGGACTCAGACTGCCGCTCCCACACACGGAAGACAGAAAGGAGAGTGTCAGCGAGGAAGTTTGTCACGGGCCTATGTTTGTTTTTCTGAATTGTTTGACGCTGAGGATCGGCCCGTCTGTCGCCTGTCACCACCCGGGGCAGCCGCGCTCTCCTCATCCTCCCTAAAGATAATTCCCTCGTGCATGTAATTCTGCACTGCTTCCAGGGTTTTCTTCTTAAGTAGGTCCCACGCCCAGTACAGAGCCCAACACGGGGCCTGAACTCACGACCCTGAGATCAAGAGCTGGATGCGTAACCGGCGGAGCCCCCAGGTGGCCCTGCTGGACTTGAAAGAGGAGTGTAACACACGTGACTTCTAATAGCAGTGAATACGCTGGAGAGCACTCTGGCGTCCTTTCAGACTTAAAAATACCACCGTGCATCTTGCTACCTGGGCCCAGCCGTCTGCTGCAAGTCCATTTCAAGAGGGGCTTGCCTCCCCCAGACCCCCTCCTTGGTCTGATCTGCCAGGTGGCACGGGAGGAGGAAGCTGGTACAAGGAGGGGAGGCGCGGGTTCAGGACCAGGTGTGCCCGGGGGCCTGGGCTGGGCAAGTGCGGGCGTGACGCAGGACACGGCACCTCCCACTCACACGGGACCCTCACACCAAACACGTTTCTCTAGCTCTGGTGTCACTGCCGCCGAGGGGACAAATCATGTTTGTTTCGAAGCGTAGAGTCTCCACTCGTGAATCCCTGTTACCTGCAGGGCTGATGAGAACATTTACAGAGACTCGTTCCAACCGAGCCGTTGCGGCACGAGCAGAAGCGACGGGTCCAGGTGCTTCCTGCACTGACTGCTCCTCGACGGCTAATCAGACGTCGATCAGTTTCATCCAATTTGGAGTTTTAATCCCTGGCTGTCAGTCTTCTTCAAATGTAATTCAACAGAAGTGTTAGCCTAAAGCACCTCCATCTGGAGTCTTCAGCACATCGTGGAGCGAGGGGGCCATGCCCGGCTGCTGGTTCAGTGCAGTCAAGGGACATTACAAAGGGCGTCCACGGATATTGCTCAGGAGGGTCGGTGGGTGTCACGGAGCAGCTTGCGCGTGACGGCTGCTGAGTTCGCAGCAGGAGGGCCCGGCACCGGGCACTGCAGTGAGCTGGATGCTCTGCGGAGCTGGTAATGCAAATAGCTTCCCGTGCTGCAAAGAATTTGAAGTGAAAAGTTCAATTTACTCTCTTCCACCTGACATACTTCCCTGACGGTGTCCTAGTTTGGACACTTTCTTTCAGGAGCTGCCGACAAGGGCTGATGCTCATCAGAATGCAAATTTACAAACAACCTCGTACAACCTTTGCCTTTGATGTGCCCAGAAACTGGATGGACTCACTTGCTCCTCTAAGTTATTTTTCATGTGTTTTCTACAATTTCCAATTCTCGCAAATTTTGGTATGAAATGCCAGCACAACATTTACACGATTCTTTTCTTTCAAACTTTGAAGTGGATTTTTGTAGAATTTGCAGGTAGCTGGAAATGACCATTTAGATGTTTATTTCCCCTGCAGTGTCTCGGGTCCTCTGTGACTGGGGCTGTGGGATGGGTGTGGGGATTCCACTGCCTCCACGGGCCCCCCGGGAGGTCTCACATTACCGTCTTCATGTTTATCCAGTGCACACTTCTGCTTTTTTTGGAGATCATATACTTAGTATTTAAAAGTTATTTAAGGTGGGGTGCCTGGGTGGCTCAGTGGGTTAAGCGTCCCACTTTGGCCCAGGTCATGATCTCACAGTTTGTGGGTTGGAGCCCTGTGTGGGCTCTGTGCTGACAGCTCAGAGCCTGGAACCTGTTTCGGATTCTGTGTCTCCCTCTCTGACCCTCCCCTGCTCACGCTGTCTCTCTCTCAGAAATAAAATTTAAAAAAACATTAAAGGATAAAAAAAAGTTATTTAAGGAACAAGTTGATAAATGGAAAAGTATAATCTCCAGATTAACGGTAACAGGTTATAGTCAACTATAAAATCTAGCATCATTCTCTGTGGATTTGACAACAACCTTTTTCTTTTCTTTTTTTTTTTTTAAATATAACTTATTGTCAGGAAGTCTGGGTGGCTCAGTTGGTTGCGTGTCTGTTTCGGCTCAGGTCGTGATCTCACAGTTCGTGGGTTCGAGCCCCGCGTCGGGCTCTGTGCTGACAGCTCAGCCTGGAGCTGCCTCAGATTCTGTCTCCCTCTCTCTGTCCCTCCCCCGCTTGCAGTCTGCCTCTCCCTTTCTCTCAAAAATAAATTAAAAAAATATATACACATTATAGTCAAGTTAGCTAACATACAATGTACAGTGTGCTCTTGGCTTTGGAGGTAGATTCCCATGATTCATTGCTTTCGAGTGCACATCTCGTGTCCATCCAGCTTCACGTGGCCCTGTGGCTCCTTGGATGCGTGGACATGCCCATAGGCACCTGCCGTGGGGGCAAGGACTTGGGTACCAGTCAGAAGGCCGGGAGCAGTGGCTGTCCCTCGAGCTGTACGGTCGGCAGGTCCCCAGGTGTGCATGGCATCTGTCACCCTGGGGGCCACCTCCCCGACACCTGATACTCCTGTTTGTTATCTTCTCTGTGGGTCTGATGTGCCCACGCAGACTGCAGACACAGGGGCCCACGCCCTCCTCGGCCCCGTGTTCAGGCTGTGATCTGTGCTCCGGGGCCACTCTGAGCAACCTCTCTTCTTCCTCGTTCCCACTGCACCATCTGCGAGCGGGCGTTGTCCCATCGGGAGTTCACGGCTGGGGGTCCTGGGGGTCCCTCCCTCCCTCTGTGGGGCAAGCCGGCCCTCAGAGGGGGAGGTCTCTGAAGCCCCCGCCCCCAGCTCTGTGAGTCTGTGCTTCTCCGCATCTGACCCGGTGGTGTTCAGAGTATTAGCTAATTTGGGCAGAGCTGTTTTGGGCAAGAGAACTTGTGAACAGCTGTGCAAAGGCCCCACCGTTGGGTCCCTCGTGAGGCCCGTGTCTCTGTGGACCTACGGAATGAAACTTTGTAGCTTTGGAACAATAGCTTTTATTTCAGAAAAACACCTTCTTTGCTTTGTTTCACTTTATGCCATTTACCCATTGGGTTTAACATGACTAATACGCAAGTCCCCAAACACTAGTGCGGGAATGGCTCATGGGACCGTATGACCCCTCCAGACGTATTTTTGGATGATTTAACAATAGGAAGCCTGCCTGGACGTGACGTAACAAAACCAGTATTTATCTGGGCTCATAATAGTTTTTATTAACTATGGAGAGTTGAACGGACCCAACTTCACTCTACCAGTTCAGTGAGCTGAGATTATAAAATTACAGTTTTGGGAAGAAATTATTTCGTATGATGGAAATTTCAATATTCAGAGCTCAGAGTTCTGGCTTAATGAACCACTTAAATTAATCTTTACTTTTTATTTTATTTTATTTTTTAAATTTTTTTAAAATGTTTTATTTATTTCCAGGAGAGAGAGACAGCGTGAGCAGGGGAGGGTCAGAGAGAGAGGGAGTCACAGACTGAAACAGGCTCCAGGCTCTGAGCTGGCAGTCAGCACAGAGCCCGACGCGGGGCCCGAACCCACGAACCGCGAGATCATGACCTAAGCGAAAGTCGGACGCTTAACCGACTAAGCCACCCAGGCGCCCCTAATCTTTACTTTTTAAAGGGTGCCGTAACCAACAACCCTTACTTGTTCTTAAAATCACGGCAAGAATCACAGTTTCTCTCCCTGCTAAAAATTATCAGGGAACTATCTAAAGTTGATTAATATGGTGCTAGTTTTAGGTGCAGAGTATACAGAGGGGACACATAATAAGTGTGTCATCTTTGTCCACAAAAAGATCAAGGCATCTGAGCAATCTCAGGAGAGAAATTCAGAAGATCACAAAACGCATCCAGTGGACCTGTTCTCGTCTGAGGCCCGCTCAGGGCAGCCCTGGTTAGTTATCAAGGAGCACCGGGAAAAGCACACACAGACCCAGATCGTAGCCGAGATCTACAGACAGGGAGCGCCCAGGGTACTCCTGGCCCCTAAGGGAGGGCCACTGGGGACCTGGAGGGTTCTAGATGCCATGCTCTTACAAGGTGAGTGGGAGCGGGACTGTCCCTGTTTATGAAGACTGATCCCCTCTCCCCCCGCTTCCGTCCCCTCCTTTGGTGGCTCCGCCGAGAGCACGTAGGGCCGGGCGCTGCTGGGGGATGATAAATGTATCAGACGCGATCACTGCCTTCAGGGAGCTGAGGATCTCCAGTGACAGCAGAGCGGCAGAGCTTTGGGGCAACACAGGGACTGTCCTGTCCCCCAAGAAGAAATGTGTGTCCCCAGGCTGTGGAGGTGATGGAGCCAAGGGGCTCCTTCCCACTGGGGGTGCACAGTCCTCGTCAATGTGAAGGTCTTCTTAAAGAGTCTTGGGCCCGGGGCTCCTGTCCGTGGAGCAGATTTTCCACCCCTCCCCTCCGCTCCCCTGCTGCGCAGCCACTGCCCACTCCCCCTGGAGGCCCTGCACCAGCCCATCTTCTCCAGAAAGCATCTTGGAATTTCCCCCCGCGATAGCGCTTGGGTCCTCTCTCCGGGTTTCTAAAGCACCTACTTCCCGTCTCCTACTACACGTGACGTGTCCCACTCGCCAGAGTCCTGTCCTGGTCTCACTTCTCCATCCGAGGCAACCGCCATCTGGGTCCACAGTGCACCAGGTCACTCTCCGCCAGCCTATGTTCTACGGGGTGGTGGCCGGCTCGTGGCATGTATCCGGTGAACATCTGTGGGATGTTTACACTAACGACAGAGTCAGGAAGACCCCAAAGGTTCAAAGTAGGCTTTAAAAAAGCTGTTTAGGGAAGTGCAATGGAAGGGCAGCAGAAATTCACCTTCTGCTATAGTTTGCTGGAGAACATGTTCCCCAACTGAAACCAAACTATTGTGTATCCCAAAAGGACAGAATCCACCGTTGATTTGGGTCACCGCAGGTCATCAAACTGACTTGCATATATGGTGCCCTTGGGGCACTTTTCCCAGGATTTTCGTGAATGTCTCCCGCGAGAAGACTGCCAGGACTTATCGTGACATTGCTTCAGTGCTGAAGCCTTTTAACCGTTGGATTTTTCGTGGTTAGTTTGAGAAATAATTTGCACCCTTTTTCCTTCTCTCCTAATCTCCAGCGGCTCAGTCATGATAACCCAAGTCTATATTTTATCAGCTCAGGCATTCTCTCTGGGAATAAGTGGGTGTCTGAGCCACAGTGGATCAGAATGAAGCAAACGGCCAAGGATGGGGAGTCGACAGTTTATAAGGCCATGGGAGAAGCGGATGCACGAGAACATAGATGGGAAGGAAGCGATGTGGGAGGAAGTTTCCAGTAAAAGAATACTGTGATTTAAGAAATTCAGAGAGCAGAGCAGTGAGGCACAGCTTATGGCAGGAGCTGGCTCTGACTTCGCTTCTTGACTCCCTCTCTTTACTCTGTGGAATCCGGGGCAAGAAATTAACCTTGGTTTATTTTGATAATGGTGACAATGCTCTCGATGCAGTGCCCCATGGTGAGCACTTGATGCGGCACGGGAAGAACTCAGATGAGGCGTGGCACAGGATACGTGTTCATAGTGCTGACATGTGTTCATGTGTATTCATACGCGCTCATACGTGCTGGCTTAGAGATTTCTTCCATTAAAAAATACCCTTTCTTAAACTCTAATTCTTACAAAATAGTACCTAAGGTAAAAGGACACATGAAATACGGGAAATTCAGATAAAGCAGCTCCGGCTCTGTGTGGCCTTGCAAACACACCATCGTGAGCATCCCCGGGTGCTCTGGGCACGAGGGGAAACCAGAGCTGTTTGGAGGTGTCCTGGTGGGTCGGATGGTGGCAGGGTGAAATCGGGGGACGCGCGGCAGAGCCACGACTGGCAGCTCTTAGGCTGTCATGCCACTGGGCCTTCTGCCGTGTCCGCTGCGACCTCGGGCGGGGGTCGCGAGTCCTGACTGACCACCCTGCGGCCGCGCACCCCAGGCCCTCTGAGAATGCACACCGAGCGCGCGCACTGGGGACCCAGATTTCCCACCAACGCACACAACTTAGTTTTCCCGCGTCTTGTCTTTGGGAGGAAGACTGTGAATCCCTGTGACGATGAAAACGGTTTGGCCAAGCGGCCGCGTGTCCCAAAGGGTGAGAGCACGCTGCCGGAGGTGAGCGAGTTTTCAGTCCCAGAACCGTGAGCGAGCGCTCCGCCGAATGTGCCCCAAGCAGATTGGGACAAACGCATGGGGACCGTGTGGGACACCCAGTGGCCACGGCCGGCCACGGAGCAGGCACCGATGTTCACCATGGCAACACCGCCTCCAAAACACTCCGGGCCTAGCAGCGGCCCAGGCAAACAGCGTGTGGCCTTCGATGATGGAGAGGGAAATGTGGGGGAAGGAATAGTGACTCAAGGGCCATCTGTCTCTTTCTTCACAGGTTAACACCGCAAGTTCTAACAAATGGAGGTCCACACACCAACGATTTTCGTGGCTTCCAGGAGCCCAGCGCCATTTTACTCTGCATGTTACGTGAAGTTCACGTACGTTCATTGCCGCATTTCCCTTTCTAGATTGCTGACGCATTCTACCACGGCAGCCATCTAGACATGGAACGTCAGGGCACAATCCCCAAGGACCTCAGCTATCGTTTTGGACTTGAGAATTTATAGTGACCTAGCAAACGTACAAAGGAATTCATGGAGAGAGAAAAACGACTTTAAAGAAAGCATCATCTGTCAAGTCAAGACCTTCAGAGATGCCTCTGAGAAACGGTACTGTGGTAAAGACCAGGGGTTAGTTCTAAGCATGTTGCAAATACTCTCATGGTAATCCTGGACTGAAAACAAAGATGGCGGGTGCTTGTATGGAAATCACATATAGCGATTCGTGAGGGCGTCCGTTCTGACAGTCCTCCAGATAGGGTTCTGCAGGGAAGTGGGGAGGGCTGGAGAATAAGGGATTCTGTCCCTTCCTGCACAGAGGGGCAGAGACCCATCTGAGCCATGAAGAGACTGGAGCAGATCTGCTTTGCAGACCCCCGTCCAGGAAGGTCAGACCTGCGCTCAGCACTGTGATGGGAACGTGCCAGTTCAAGCTCCTATTTGTTGCCAACTTCTCTTTGGCGCAAAGCCAACTCTACTCCTTGTAACCAGGGGGCAGTGAGGGCTCTAGAAAACGGTCCGAGGCTCACGTGGAGAGAGCTGGCATGTGGAACGCAGGTTAAACGCCAACACCACCCCGGTCAGGGCCATCGGGCTCACGGTCTCACAAAACCCAGAAGGGGCCCCTTGAACACGTCACCGGCTTTTTTCTGTTCATTCCCTTATCTGTTCTCTTGGAACTGAGTGGGATGCGGTTTCAATTGACCCAAGGATCAAAGGACGTTCCCCCCATGAAGACCGGCCCGCCCACTGGCGCCACTGCCCGGGGGCCGGCGTGAAGCCACCGGAGGCTGTGCCCTTACTTTCCTCCGAGAGGTCGTTGTCCTCGGCCTCCCTCTCCATGTCCTTGCACCAGCCTTCCATCCTGCTGGTCTCCGTGTGCAGCAGCTTCACAAACCAGGAGCCGTCCCGGCGGCCCGGGGACGTCCTCCCGGGGTCCCCCGTGTCCACGGACGGCTCCAGCCAGGGCTCGGGCGGCGGCAGGGTGGCCGCGTCCACGGGCGCCCTGTAGTCCTCTCTGTAGCTGAAGAGCCCCTGCGTCCGCACAGTCCTGACCGCCCCGTACTGGGTGGGCGTGCTGGGCTCCGAGTGCCGCTGGAGGGCGGGGCCGAACTGCAGGCCCTTGTCCTCCATGGTGACGCGTCCCGGGAAGCCCTCCAGCTCCAAGTCTGCCTGGACGGCGGCCGTCACGCTGTTCGAGCGCTTAAAGCGTCCGTGTCTGCGGAGGAGGGAAGGGGAGAGAGGGAGGCTTTCTGAGGTGACTGCCTGCGGCGGCCGCAACCAGCGCGCCTGCACTCGGCCCACGGCACCTCAGGAAACACGCGTGTCTTCACCTCTACTGCCGCGACTCCGGGGCTCCCGCCACGGGGGGACGTGTGGGTTTGGCAGTAACTGCCCCCTAACGTCAGCTACCTCGCAGAGCCTACACACGCCCGCTTCGGCAGGCGCCGGCGAGGCTAACGCGTCCCACGGAACCGCCGGCCCAGGCCGTGACCTCCCCCTGCGAATCCGCTACAAGCTGACAAGCTCCCACGTGTTGCCCGCGTGTCAGTGTCAAAGGAAGTCTTGTGTTGCTTCCTCGATGCAACTTCTGCACCCTCCCGACTTTCAGGGACACATCTCAGGGCGAGCTCCTATCTGAGTATCTTAATATCATCCCCATTGAGTCTTTTATGCAAAATAACGAATCTAAGCTCTGACTTCAGCAGGTGTTTTAAAGCCATTTTCATCCTATGTATTTGAAGGCCATCCACGCCCGCACAGGCAATTACTGAAATGATGGGCAGGAAAGAGCTTATCAGGTATTGCTGGGTGAGACCTGTGTGTGTGAGGGGGGGGGGGGCGGTACATCCAAACTGTACCCTAACTATACATTCTGGCTTCTCCCCATCTGAACCCACAGATGGCAATCGCTGTGAGAGCAGCTGGGTAATGAATGTGCCACTTACTTTCTTTGCTGGAGGCTAAGGAGAGAACAAGCGAGGGACGGGGACGGGAGGCAGCGAGCCCAGGTCCCCGTGCAGAAGCCGTCCGGCCTCTGGGAGGCCTACTGGGAGCCGGGGAAGCCACTCGTGTGGGGTCTGAATATCTTTGCAATCGGAACCCAGAATGTCACCTGAGACCTTACCAGCTAGATGCTAACAGAAGTTGCAGAGGTAATGAGGCTCTCATTAAAATTTGTTGTTATGAAATTTATACGATATATTATTTTAAGTATAAAAGAATCATCCTGTTCTTGTTACAAAATAACACTATCCTAACACATCTGTGTATTCTATAGTTTGAAGTCATGATGGCTCAGGTCTTAAGCTCCCTTCCTTCTCTCTTTCTTTCCCTCTGAATAGTTAGGTGAGAAGGCACACATCTGATCACCCGCAGGCCGACCTGTTCTTCCTTTGGATGAAGAATGTGGCTTTCAGAGCCGTCAGCTTTCCCAGGTGGTAAATTACTTTAGAAAGAATTATTCCCCTGCCTCTTGCAAAAACAAGACACTGGCGGATGTTAATTCATACTTGAGTGACATAAACTGAGAAGTGTAAATATATGAGCCTGTTTCCACGAGGGGCATGAATTATTGATGGGTCACATGATCAGGCTGGCAATCAGGTTTCTAACGGGTCACTCTTGCCGGGGAGCATCGGGTATTTGGAAGGGGCTGAGTTACCGCTTCTCATCTTCCACCTGGACGCCAACAGAGTGGTATTCCCGCAGGCCTCGGCTCTCCGTGTCCGAATCGGTGGCTGTTTCCACCTAGTGCAACACAGAACATCTTATTTTAGAACCAAGACAGGGGACCTGGGCGAGGGACTGCTTTCTGTGTGTGTTCATTTGCTGTAATTAATTGCACATTTAATTAATACAGAGTTGCACTTGACCCAGTAAAAATCACAGAGAGAGGGAAATGCACTGTACTGGTGTAATTATATTCCTACTGTTTCATCAAATTTTACATAACTACTTGAACTCAGCATTGTGCTCTGATCTCTTAAATGTATGCAAATAAAACTGCTTAGTTCAGCTAAGGCAAGAGACAGGCTTTGTTGGGTTGACCTCTTCGAGGGCAGGAGAGCTCCCCCCACACCCTACAGTGGAGAAAGTAAGACAGCATGAACCAGAGAAAGCTAACAACAACATAAGCAATTTAACAGAAGGGTGCTGGTGGCGGAATCCACACAAAGAAACACACAGAGAGGAATTTCAGGGTTTACTGGGGACACCGAGGCGATCTGTCCGTCTGCTCCCACCCACAGGTGTCTCTCATTTGCTAACAGGGCTGTGCCCAGCAAGGCCATGTCGGAACAGAACAGAAACTGTGCATTTCACATGAGATCCTTATTGTGCTTCTCTTTGCCAAAATGTCTCCCAAACCCATTTCAGGACCAGGAGCAGGGTGACGCTAACAAGGGGCGGGGGTGGGGGAGACCTCTGGGACACTCCGTTTTGTAAAAAAAAACCAAAAAAACCCCCTAAACTCTCAGTGCGAAAAGTCTGTGAAACCAAAGGTTAGCTTAATCATAAATATTATCCTGGCTATGCAAACATCTCCTTCCTTTTTCCCAGGAAATATTACCGGCTGGATCAGCAGGACTTAGACCCCAATCTAAGATGTCATAACTAAGTTGTATGACATTTTTTTCCCCTTAAAAATGTTCATGATCGCCACAAGGATAAGCTACAACCCATTCAACAAATAATTGTGACATTCTCCTTCGTGATCACGAGACTGAGTTTGCCCTGGGGCCGAGGTCCCAGCATCAAGGGCCGACTAAATCTGTGCCAAAGAGAAACAGTGACCTTAATGGCTGCCATTTATCTTCTGCTTTCCATGCACCAGGCGCTACGCTGAGAGCCCGGGAAGCATTACTGCGCGGAGTGCCCCAGACTCCTGCCGTTACTTCCTGCCACACCGGACAGCTGAGAATCAGAGAAGGTGAGAAACGTGCCTGAGGGTGCACAGCTCACTGGGGCTGAACATCAGTTTACCCCAGGTCTCCCTCACTGCAGCACCTCCCAGTGCTCATCTCAGTCCTCCGTGGCCAGAATAAATCCGGCCGCACAAAGACCCCTGAACTCTTGGGGCGTTACCGAGCGCACCCCAGCCTCTTCCTGCCAGAGTCCCAAACACGTGCACGCAGGCTGTACCCCATTTGTGTCATGTGGTTTGACACGAAGTGACCCTGGGATGAAGCACATTGTTGAATCAAAACCCTAACCTTGCTGCTGTCTCTATGTCTCTTTCTAGTTTTAGGGGGGCCATGGCTTTGATGAACTTCCCCTTCCTGGACATGGAGACTGTTAACTATTAGTACCCCAGCCCAGAAGATCACAATGAGAATTACAGTATTTGAGAGGTCACCCCCTGTCAGAGCAAACAGACCTGCCTTGTGTCTTAACTGCTCACTGGGCCGTTTTGTGAACATAACCTGATTATTTGTAATCAGTCTTCAATTGAGGGATAAATTGCTTATTTCTAGTTTTCTGTCCTTATTACTGCTACAGACATATGTCTGCACCTATGTGTGCGCATGCTTTTGTGACTATTTCAACAGTGTAGGTGATTTATGGGTCAAAGGTATTATTATGCTTGACAATTTTGGTCGATATTGTTGAATGTGATGGATACATAATATGGGGGAGATCAATGCTTACATTACTTCTAGAAAGACTTCTGTAATGGAAAGAGCACTGGGTTTTATCCTCAAAATGTTCAGAATATTTGCTTCACTTCTACTTGTGAGGATTCTGGCCTATGAAATTAGCTTATTCTGGCAAATGTGTGAGGCGTTGATCGTAGTGGTATGTGGAAGGCAAAACACGGGGGTCGTCATGGAGAACAGCGACACGGGGTCAGTTATGATTTGCTCGAGACACAGAACACTAAGCAGTTATGACACGGAAGATGCATATGGTCCAACTAGCAAGTGGCGTGGACAGCGCAATCACAGGTATGTGCGTACACAGGAAACACGCATACCCACGGGCATGTAAACACGTTACACCAGTGACCGACACAGACAGGCAAACAGCAGGCACTTCCTCCCTCTGTCCTGTCTGCACGTGCCCTCTGCTGGGATTCTCTCATGCTCCTAGCAAATGAGGGCGGTACAGCTTCTGAAGCCAGAGTCTGTCACTACCTGGCCATGGGACTCTCCAGTGAAGTCTCTTAGGCTTTGTTGACTCTCTTCTTCCTAATCTCAAACATGAGGGGACATCAGACCCTTCATCTCACTGACGTAGAACTCTGCAGGAAGCCAGAGTCACACGCGCTTGCCCACAGCAAGTGTCAACGCTCTGTCTTCACACCTCAACTGTCACGCTGTCAGCTGTGTCATGACATGGACATTAAACTGAGGAATCTCACAGATTTACAGTGGGTTCATGTGCAACTTTCCCAAGGGAAAAATGGAGTTATCCGGTCTTCAGGGCTTAGGGGGTGATAAAATCACGTACGTATGGATGTGCTAAATATTTATCCATCTCAGAAACCCTGGGAGTAGAGGCTCTTGTACAGATGGGGAAAAAGGCAAATTTAAGACAAAGAAAAGGAGTCACTACTTTGCACAGTGGGAAGGAAATCAGAGGAGGCTCTGGCTGGAAGAGTCGAGTGAGTTTAAAACATTTCAGAAACACAGGCCCGCGTTCATGTCCACAAGACCCACCGTGTTCTGGGCATCGAGACGAAAGATGCATTAACAACATTGCTCACTTTAAGTGAACTTGTTTTGAAGCAAATGCTGTGTTTGAAGGGCTCCCTAAGGAACGGGGACAGACGTCTCTCCAGTCGCTGCAGCGAGCGGCGGGTGCCATCACAGAAGAGTGTGCTGGCTCCGTGGAGCCCGCTGCCTCGTACCAGCTCCCCCTGCGTGATGCCACGTGCAGTGCTGAGAGGCAGGAAGGGGGACTGCTAGTTACGGTCCACGCTGGTGTGTGCGCATAGTCGCACATGTGTGTGTGCATGAGTGTGCACGTGTGTACATGCATGAGCGACTATGTGTGCTAGTGCAGTGTGTGCAAGTGTGCACACATGTCTGTATGTGCGCTCACGTGTGTGACTGTGCACACGAGAGTATACACATGTGTATGTGTGACTGTGCCACAAACAGGTGCAGTGAGCACATGTGTGCACACATGCACACACGTGAGCGTGAGCACATGTGTGTATGTGTGTGAATAGCTGCAGTCGTGCACACACAGTACATGCACAAGCATGCTTGCACGTATGTGTATGAACATATGTGTGAGTGTGCAAGTGTGAGTATAGACACACGTATTATGTGTGTGACTGACCTATGTTACCATACGTGTGTGAGGTGTGAGCCCACAGGTACACATGTGTTGAGTGTGCACACACGTGAGCACAAGTGTACACAGGAGTGTGTGTGTGAGTGTGCAGGCACACGTGTGTGAGCGTGTGCATGCAGGGAGTGCGCCCTGCCCCCCCTCCTGCACGCAGGGGTTTGTGGGAAGCCAAGGCTGAGGAGCACCACGTCTCCCGGACACGAGCGAAGGGTGCAGCCATGGCTGCGACAGTGCGTCTTTGGCGGCTAAATGCAGACCATTTATGCTCTGCCTTCAAAGCCTCGCACGTAGCTGGTGACCTATTACACGCCCAAGAGGGGAGCGGGACCTGCCACCTCGCTGCTGAGACCGGCTCAGAGCAGCTCCGAGAGCAGGGGCAGAGGCTGGCCGGGCGTGCGACGGCTCAGGCTGGCGAGGGAGGAGCACGTCTGCGGGGAGACCACGTTCGCTCAGGGGGACGTTTGAGTGGGACGCTGAGGGGCCCGCGGCGATGGCCCCGTCCAGGGGCACGGCCTGGTGGTGCTCGCATGTCTGGGCCGGGCCGGCTGAGGCAGGGGGCCTGAGGGATGCGCGTGAATCCGACCGTGGTGTCCGGGGACGGGAGACACTTTCTGAGGACTCAGACACAGACACGCACACACACAGGCAGAGGGGAAGCTCCGCGTGACAGAGAAACCTCAGACACAAACAGACGGGAATGTGAAGGGGACAGGTGTGTGTCACTGTTGAGTGAGGGAAAGGGAGGCAGGGCCAGATGGCCGGCTCCGCCCAGCACGGCCTCTCGCGGGGCTGGCACGCGAGAAAGGGCCTGGAGTTCTACCCCACAACTGCCGAATGGACGGGAAAATGTCTGCTGTCTGCGGTGGCTCTGGGAGAGTGGCCGGCGGTCAGGCGGGCCTCGCCCCCCGGGAGCGGGGGCCCTGTGCGTCGGATGCCAGCGATCTTCCCCTACAGGCGACAGGTCAGACAGACTGGGGCGGACTGCTCTTCCCCACGTGGGTCACGGGAAGGGAGCCTGGTCAGGCTCGCAGAGGGCACTGCACGGCCCTCTCAACCCTGCAATGCCTCCCTCCGTCCTGGCTTTGATGCTCAGGGCTGTGTGCCCACCGGCACAGCGGTGTACCCCCGAGCCTCAGTCTCCCCATCGGTATCTTGGATGTGGTGACAGCGGCACCTGGGGCTATTATGAGGTTAAACACGGCGATGTCCTGAGCCTGCGAATCTTACGGTTTCTCCCCGCGCCTTCACAGCACGGATGGTCAGCCGCTGCTCAGTGTATCTGTGGGGGGCCGTGCCCTCCGCTCCAGGGGCCACGTCACCCCAGTCCTTCGTGCTCTCCTCTGAGATAGCTGCCTACACTCCTCTACCTTTCACTTCTCTGACTTTCAGTTATGCTAAGTCAGGTTTCTGTGAGTGGTTTCTTTGGCTCCTCCATGCTCTTCCGTCTGACAACTGCGAGGTTACAGGCTCGCGAGATATTGTGCATTTTTTCTGCCACAAAAGACAGCTGGATCCGGTCCACGCGTGCACTCACACCGGTTCCACGGCCCACTCAGCCACCGTCACCCGCGCACCACTTATCCGACATTTACTGAGCACTTGCTATGTGCCAGGCGCTGTGCTAGGCGCTGGGGTGTGAAGCGGGGGCGGGCAGCCTTCTCAGACACGCACGTGTGGGGGCCGCACCAGGAAGGGCTTCCGGGGAGGGGTGTGCTCGGGGACCGAGGGGCGCGGCGGGGGTGGGGACGCTCCCGCAGAGCTGAGGCGTGGCTGCGAGAAGCAGAAAGGGCCACGGGGCAAGTAAAAGCCGGGGGCTTGTCGGGGCTGAGGCGGAGGCAGGAAGGGGGTGCCTCGAGCAGCCGGTAACCTCACGCTACAGCGCGTCCCTGCTCTTCTCAGATGATGGCAGAGGTGGACGCTCCCAGCCTCGTCCACGGCTGGTGTGGGCGGCCAGGAGGGAGCCCGCGGAAGGTGAGAAGGCTGGAGGGTGCGTGGGCACCAGGGAGTGTGGAGTCGGCCTCATTAACTTGGGGACCTCACACGTCTTCTCTAAGGACCTGACTTCAGAGCCAGGATGGCGGGGCGCCCTGGCGTCCCACGTCCCACCGCCGCGGCCCCGCAAGCCCAGCGGCTGCAGTGTTGCTGGCCTGTTTTGACCTCATCGTTGTCCTCCTCAAAGTGGGGCTAACTGCATGTCATGCGGGGGGGGGGCGGTCAGCTGGGAGCACCTAGCATAGGGCCTGGCATATAGAATCAGGACAGAGAGAGGCGACAGAGCAGTTGGATGGATAATCCAAAACAGGGAGATAAAATAAAAATTCATGCGTACTTGGCTTTGGAGTATATTTCGGTACTTACATCTGACCTTGGGTATGGCTGACGCTCTGGGAATTCAGAATCCTAAACAAAACAATGAAGCCACAGTGTGGAGACCTGGTTCAGAGGGCCAGCCGAGCGGGCCGTCTCCCCAGCCTGCTCTCTCGCGTCCCCGGGGTGCCCGGGACATCGTGCCCCCTCACGCCAGCGCCCAGCACGCGCAGGCCCCAGTCTGGGCTCCGTTCACCCTCTCCCCGGCGGCCAGGAAGTCCTCCGATTCTAGAACCTCCGGTGGGACACAGGCTGGATGTGAACCATGCGTGCACGGGACTCGAGGCGGACCCTGCCTCACCGTGCTGGCGGCACTCGTCGCCAGGGCAAGACAGGGCCGGCGTGAGGCTGCGAGGGGGCACCTGGGTCCTCCCCTGTGCGGACGCAGGGAGAGGCCGCCCGGAGACAGCCACACCCCATCCGGGCTGCACGCCGGGGTCTCGGGCAGGAATCGGGGCCTCGAGGGCGCTCACCCTCGGTGCTTGGCCACCAGCGCTGCGGGCCCGGAGCGCCCCACGGCCGGCATGCGCGTGCCTTCTGTGGCCGCGGCCTGTGCAGCTGGGGGCTCGCCTCAGTCTGCACCACAGAGCCTGCCTTCCTCTCAGCGGTTTAGCCCCACTGCCCTTCCCCCCGATTCATGTTTGGCCATGAGACTGAAAGGCTTTTGAAAAACCAGGGTCCAGCAAGATACCATCCTTCCAAAGCATCGAAACGAGCTGTCTGCACACCCTCTAAGTGGCCGGTGGCCCCTAGAAAGTGCCCTGGGGGTGGGGGGCCCTGGGTGGTGGGGGCGGGTGAGCCTGGGGCCCGAGCTGCCTCGGGGGGCGCCACCCGGCTGGCTGTGAACGAGCTGGGCCCGGCTCCCGCCTCTGCGGCCCTCGGGGGGGCCTGGAGGCCGGGGCGCCTGGCGTCAGTCCACGCTACTCGCAAAGCCCGCCGGGCAGCGGCAGAGAGAGGCTACCTGGATCCCGATGGAGGAGTGCCGGCTCTTGAGGAAGTCCTCGGCCTTGGACAGGACGGCCTTGTCGCTGGCCCGCGTGGGGCCGCCCTGGCCCTCGGCAGCGAGGCGCTGGGCCGCGGCCGTCTCCAGGGCGAGGCTCATGGCCTTGGTGCTGTCCAGACTGTCCGTGGAGTTGTAGAGGCCACGGGTGTCCTGGGGCCATGGGGACGCCCTCTGGGCACGGCTGTCCTGGTAGGCGTCCTGCGTGGACTCGGTGCTGCTCTGCGCCGTCACCGAGATCAGGGGCTTGGAGGTGGTGCGCGGGGGCACGGGCGGCGGGGTCTTCTTGTAGTTTGCGTACGACACGGCTGCGAGGGAAATCAGAGTCCCATCAGCGGAGGCACCTTCCCGTCCCCCGCCCGGAAGCCAGGTCCCCCGACCGCCCCCTAAGACCTGCCGGGCCTTTTGGAACCTGCAGCCTACAAAACAAGGCAAACCATGGGGGAACGTGCGCTGAGTCCCCACAGATACACTCATGACAGAGGGAAAGTGTGAAGCCCCCAAATGCAGCAGCAGTGACCAGGCTGAGTGAGTCCGTGACTCAGCAGGAGGGACGCAGCTCCTGCCTCCTGGGCGACGCCCGTCTCTTCACACCCTGCTTGGAAGCAGGGCAGGCTAAGGTTTGTCCGGACGAAGGTGGAATGTACATATAAAAAAAAACCTGCGTGTGGAGAAACCAGGTCAGAGGCACAGAAAACCGCTGCCCCGGCCATCACCGCGGGAAGGCGGGGGCGACTGTCCTCCCTCTGCTTCCCTGTGGATTTGGAGAATGTTTCTGACGAGCACGTGCTGTCCTTCTAATGGCCACGAATGTGATGTGATGACACTGCTCCCTGCAACAACACACTTACTGGGAGTCCTGTAGACGTCGGTGGAGAAGCGACCCAGGGTTTCCAGACCACCCCTGCCCAACCCTCGCTCGCGTGCGCGCCCCTCACCAGCCGCCCACCTCCCCTTGCCCTTCGCATCAGGCTTCTCCACCCCCAGCCACGGTCAATCCCCCGAGGAATACAGATGCATCCGGACATGAAGTTACATTAAACGTCTCCCTAAAAGCCACCCTGGATTCATTAGACTTCTTTGCTGGGCTCACAGTGTTAACTTATTTTTCAAGTGAGGATGAACTAGTCCATTTTCACATGAATGTGTTTTCCATTACAGCTGATTTTTTTTTTCTCCCTAATTTAAAAAAAATAATGTTTATTTTTGAGAGAGAGAGAGCAAGCATGAGCAGGGCAGGGGCAGAGAGACAGAGGGAGACCCAGAATCTGAAGCAGACTCCAGGCTTCGAACTGTCAGCACAGAGCCTGACGCGGGGCTTGAACCCATGAACCATGAGATCATGACCTGAGCCGAAGTTGGATGTTTAATGGACTGAGCCCCACAGGCGCCCCTGATGATTTTTCTTCATGCAGATAGGAAGACCTCACAGTTCTTCTGAAATGGACTCCTTCAGCATGGCGCATTGCAAACCCACCCACGTGGTCCATAGGTGATCGAGGGCTGCTGGGTGCCTGGCCACACGCACATGGGAGTATCTCCTAGGGAGCGCTGGCGTCACCCCCGGGGGGACAGACCAGTCACCGTCCTGCACTTGGGAACAGTCATTTCTGTCATTCCCGCTGTTCTGTTCCTGGGGCTTTCAATGCCCTTTCCTGTCTACAGTCTCCCCCAATGACTGCTTAACCTGTGCAAATGGGTTTCCTAATAAATAAAACCTCAGATGTCATTCCAAATAAAAGTCAGCAAATGACAAAATAAAATGAGTTTGTCATGTCAGGATGACCTGAGTTTAAAGGCATCAAAACTGCACGTGAAAATTGCAAAATGGACACATTTTTAAATGAATGTGTGCAGAGAGACTGGAAGGCAGGCACAGATGGAGGGAGACAGTAGTTGGAAACAGCCTTGACCTTCCTTCATCTACACGAGAGGAGCATCGAAAATCACCTTTTTTACTTTAAAGATTTTCCCTCCTAATGTTGATCAAGCTCTAAAGGAAAATTATTGACAACGGGCCGTATTCAAGGCATTATTCTAGGATCTTCAGGGATGCATGCAGTACGGTTCCTGAGCTCAAACACAGACTGCGTGATGTGTTCGGTACACGTGTGCAGGCGACTCAATTCGTTTCTCCAGCGTCTGTGACACACCCCCACCCGAGCTTCTTCCCCTGTCAGCGGTGAATGGCTCCCGAGTCGCACTCAGCACCCACACCCTCTGGGATGCAGCTCCTGTCGTGGGCGACATCGCTTCCGGCCGCGCCCCGGCCACCTCACCCGCGGCGCTCAGCTCTGTGGCTCGCCTTGCGCGTGCGCGCCCCTTGGGTCCTCTTCCAGACTGGGACAGCAGCCCTTCCGGCCTCAGCCAGTCTAGTCCAGCTTAGGCCCTGACGTCTGTGAACGGGGTCTGGCCTGCTGTCCCTGCTTCGCTCCGGCGTCCTGCGACCTGCGCACCTCATCCTTCCCCTTGTGGCTGTTGCTGCCTCACTTGTCACCACCCTCTCCAGCCCATCAGATCTGGACCACACACACGTGGCTGCCACGTGGACCGCCCACACACGTCGCTGTGGGTGCCCCATGTGGGGCTGGCCTCATTCTCTTCCCTCCTTTCCTTTGTTTCCATTGCATCTGATATGGGAGGTCTTCCCTGGGGCTCTTCTGACCCCCAGGCCCCAGAAATGTCTGCCTCCGCCATCCCAGCCCGAGGCCTCCCGCCGTGGCAGCGTTTCTCTGGGCGGGTGGTATACATCAGGCTCCGAACTCTTTCATTCTGGGGAGACGCGTGGTACCTTGATGCCTAGTGCCGGGCCTGGCACGTAACCGGGGCTGGATGAGCTTTAGAACATGGCCAAGGTCGCTGGGGGAAGCCATGCGAGGTTCCAGGAATGTGGGGCTCCCCCCTCTCCCCGCCCCGTCACCAGGGGCTACACGGTTTCAGAACCGGTGAACTGCTGTAACAAGTGAAATGTAAGCCTCAGAAAACCCACATTCTTGGAGAAGCACATTTCTGGCTATGGAAAAATAGTCCACGGGCATGTCTGTGCTTCTCAACTAGTATCACAGAGGAAAATAACTTCTACCGTCAGTAAGCTTAATCTACACATACCATACAGGTGCGCGGGGCCAGAGGCGGTCAGCGGGGCTCAGAGGGGGTCAGTGGGGGTCAGAGGGGTCAGCGGGGGTCAGTGGGGGCCAGAGGAGGTCATTGGGGGTCATTGGGGGTCAGCGGGGCTCAGTGGGGGTCAGAGGGGGTCAGCGGGGATCAGCGGCGGTCAGCAGGGGTCAGTGGGGGCCAGAGGGGGTAAGCGGGGGTCAGAGGGGTCAGCGGGGGTCAGAGGCAGTCAGCGGGGGTCAGCGGGGCCAGCGCGGCCAGCAGGGCCAGCCGGTGCTTGCTCTGAGCTCAGATGCGTCACGGCTCGCTCTGGAGGCCAGCGGTGCCCACCCTGCTCGGGAAAGGGCGCCATCCTGTGCTGGCGAGGCCACTGCACGCGGGCAGCCGTGGGGCCCGGCCCGGGGAGGCTGGAGGGCGGCCAGGCTGCGCTAGTCCTCCGTCTGCGTGGAGCTGAGGTGCAGCGGAGGCGGGCGCCCAGCCCCGCTCTCCGGGCCAGCCATCACCCCGGTGGGGAGCCGCACGGACTGCGGGGGCAAGGGGGGCAAGGGGCCCCGCCCTGAGGATTCTGATTTGGGGGCTGTCGGACCCCCACGTCAGGTCCTTCCGTGCGTTAGCTGGGGGCGCTCGGCTGGGGTGGTGCGGCCCTTGGCAGTGCCTGAGGGACGCCCCTGACGGAGCCACGCTGGTGGGGGAGGGGAGGCCTGCTGGCACCCGGCGGGCAGGGGCCCGAGGCGCCGCCTCCGCCGGCTGCGGAGGCTGCGAAACTCACTTCCTGTTTCCGAGCGCGTCTCGTGGCGCATCTGTGAGATGGGGGGACACCCGTGGGGGCATCGTCGGGCAGCAGCTGGTCAGTCCGCCCGTGTGGTCGCCGGCTGGGGAAACCCGGCCTTCCTCCTGTTCCCGGTGGGGGCTGCCGGTCACAGCGCGCTCTCGCTCCCCGGGGACTCGACGTGGCGCCCGAGAACCTTCTCACCACGCTTCTCTCCGAACTCCTTCGTGGCGTCGAGGCCTCAGGGCGCCGAGTGCGGCGGACACGCACGAGTGCGGGGACTGGCCGCTGAGGTGTGGGGGGGCTCGCGGGCGGAGGGCCGCGTGTGACAACACGGACGCTAGGTCGTTGTTTCCACGCTGACCCGCGCCGCGGCGTCCACCTCCTGCGAGGAGAGTCTCTCGGCAGCGCCCCGCCCCCGCCCAGCTCCCCCCGCCTCCAGCCCCGCCCCCTCCCCGCCCCCAGCCCCGCCTCCGTCCCGCCCCCAGCCCCGCCTCTCCCCTCCCCCCACCCCTCCCCGTCCCGCTCCCAGCCCCGCCCCCTCCCCGTCCCCAGCCCCACAGCGCCCCTAACCCGCGGGACGCGCACACCGCTGAGGGGCTCTGCCGTGGCCCCGGGTGCACGTACGGACTCTGGAGAAGCGTCCTGTCCCGGCAGTGAGGGGCGGGCGCGACGGTGAGGGGCAGCCGGCGCGGGGCTACGGATTCCTGACGTCCGCCGAGCCGCGGGCGTGTGCTCTTCGCCACGCTCCCACGACGTGAAAGGCGCTCACGAAGACGCGGCTGCGGCGCCTCCCAGCGAACGGCGCGAGCTCTCAGGACCGGGGCCCTCGGCGCGGCCGCAGCGCAAGGACCCCCCGGGGCACGGGCGCGCCCCAGACACGCCCCCCACGCTCCTTCCAAATGACGCCTGTCCGAAGGCGTCGAGTGCGGTTTGGCGGAACGCCCGCCCGTGCGCAGAGGCCCCGGGCGTCAGTCACGGGAACGCCCCTCCGCACCTGCTCTCCGCACGAGGCTTCGGTGACGCGAGGACCCTCACCTGGCTCGGCTGTGACAGTGCGCACGGCGGCGGCACCCTCGCGGGGCCGCTGGCAGCGAGCGGGCGTGGCTCCGGCGCGGCGGCTAAAGCGGAGGCCGAGGTTGGGCGCCATTAGCGTGGCTCGTGCAGAGCCGCAGAGCACGGAGCCCGCGTCCCGGCGGCGCCGGGCCAGCCTCCGCGGAAGTCACTCAGGGCTTGTCTGGAGGACGAGCGCGATTCCGCTCGTCAGCAAAGCCCGGCTCCTGGGGTGTCAGGGCGGCTCTGGCTCCCCGTAAACACGGAGGAAGTGGGTCCATTTGATGCTCTTCCAGTTGCTTAAAGAAGTCACCTGCTTCCAACATAAGCATCCATTTCCCTGGCAAACCACCGAGTTAGTGGTGGAACAGA